CGACGTCAAACAAGAAAACAATCGGCCAGCGTGTGCCCTGAGCACCATCGGAAGTCGAAAGGTCGGTCGCAACTGTGCCCTTGGATTTACTTCTGGCCAGTGTTCCTGTCGTGTGTGCATACCGCATGTTCGTCGACCTTGATCTCCACAGGCCGCCCCAGAGCTCCGAGCCCCCACGGCCGATCGGGGTAACACGTAGATTTTGGAGGGCGCCTACAGTCGGGGCGTTGACCTAAGGAACCCGAAGTAAGGAACGAGGCCCCTTTTTTCTATAAGTCAACCTTCGATTTCCCATCGAAAACCTGAGGAAAGCCTGAGGCAAGCTGTGAGACACTTAAGGAACGCGGAGCCCCTCCCCAACGAAAAGGGTTCCTTCTTCAGGGCCCCGACTGTACTGGCAGGCCGGCTTCCTTGACGTGCCCACCGCAAGGATGCATCGCGACTGTGGGGGGATCTCTGCATCGCCGGATGAGTGCTGCGGCTGGGCCCGCTGCCTTAGTGCGGGGTGGCGATTAGTTAAAGAAATGGGAGGGAACGGTTAAAAAAATAGTTTTCTGCTATTTCTGCACAATTTTCTGACTGGAATAGAACGATTTAAAAAATAGTTTTCCAGCCCGCGGCCGGTTCTAATCGTCATCCCGGGCGCCGCCGCGTGAACACGACCCCCGGTCATTTATCAGTCGTCATCCTCCATTAAGCATGGGCGCAGTGGGGTAGATCCCCATGAAGGCGGCCAGATCGCTGCATGACTCCCCGAGCAGTGCTTGCACGAATGGGCAGTCGACAAGAGGATCTGACTCTGGCACCTTCCTACCGGCCCGCGGCTCCGTGGCTTTGGTTCGCTGGCCTTTGCTTCGGGGCGCTCGCCCCCACCCGGCGCCGCCTTGACGCCGCCGAATCGCTGGCCGGTGGTTCGGAGCTCCCGCCCTGCGAACGCCTCGTCGCCTCCTCGCCCGCTGGCTGTCGATTCCAGGGGTCTCCGCCCTGCGCCCGCCGGTCGCCGCCTCGGGCGCTGGCTCGCGCTGTAGGATGCCCGCGTGGACTCGAACGGATTGTATCGCATCGGCTGCTCCACACGCAGTGCACGGCATAGACTGCACCACAAAGCTTGCACCGCATGGCGTGCACCTTTTGGGCGGTTGCACTCTGCACACCGCGCTGCACACATCTATTGAAGCACGTGTTGCACCAGACAGCTTGCGCACAATATGCTGCACCCCACATCATACAATGCACGTCGATATTGCAAGAACCCACTGTTCGGAGTCTACGCTGGTCAACACTGACCTCTCCCGACAAGACTCGAGCGTCTCCTGGCCGATGCACCGAGGCAGCGCGGATGATGAGAGGATGGGCTTGTGGAGGAGGGAGAAAAAGATCGAACATAAGGTTGGAAAGGAAAGGCAGAGAGGGCAGAGGGAACCATGATGAGCAAGGGAGATCAAGAGGGCGAAAAAACAGCGGCAGAAGGCGAAGCGAAATGAGCGAGAAGAGGTGCAGGATGAGAAATGCGGAGAGGAGGACGCCGAGGGTGCTCCCCGTCCCATCGGAATTGCTGTCTCCGCTCGCTGGCGTCCTCGTCATTCATTATCATCACCCCCTGGCTCCTCATTCCCTCGTTCCCCGTCTCCCCCCTCCTTTCCCTCCTGCTGCTTATCCTCCATCCTCCTCGCTCAACATCCTTCTTCGCCCCCCTTCGCCACTATCCTCACACATTCTCCTCGAGTTGTGTCTCCGCCACCTTCACCGCATGTCTCCATCATCCTTCCTCACTGCTTTCTTCTCTATCGTGCTTTGTCCCTTCTCCCTTAGTCCCCCCCTTCCCCGCACCCTCTTTCCGTTCCCTTCCTCCCTCCTAGCTCCACTATCGTCACTCTGACTCATTCATCCTTCATCCTTCCATCTCTCGTCTCTCCCTCCTCTCGTGTCCATATTCTCTCATCCATCCGCCTCCTCATCCATATGCCTGCTCATCCTCTTGTTCGTTATTCCCGCTCCTTCCCCGTTTGTTCTACGCACGGAAGTCCGAAATATTGCCACTGTTACCCCCCGTGCCTTACTCATCCCCCCTCTCTCCACCCGATTCCCTCCTTCTCCCACCACCCTCCTCCTGGCATGAGGGAACGGAGTCAAGTGGGAAATGGGTCATGGACCCCAATGTTTTCCCTCTAACCGACTTCCCTTATGCGTGCTTGCTTGACTGTACCGGGGTCATGGAAAGGACCCCGAAAGCCCGAACACCGTGAACAAACTTACACAGCTGGGAAAAGTTATAACAAAAACAACACGACGATCACCGTGAATGATCTGCAGACTGCAGCGCCAAAAGAGGACCATGAAGTGAGATTCGCCTCTCACTGTTGGCAGCGTGCGCAGGCGTGCACCATGGACCAGGTCACTGATATGCCACACTTTGGCCTGCGCGCCCAGTGGCAACATTGGGAGGCGGACGCCCGGGGTGCTCTTTCCAAGCTAATAGTTCACAGGGCCGCTGGCGTGGGCGGTTCCACGTTCTGCCCTGCGGCTCCGTTCCCACCAGTCGGATGGCTCACGTGCCACGCGCCATGCAGACGATACGCTGGTCCGTAACATTGACAGGCTGATGTCACTTGATGCGACGGGCCCCGCCTGATCTGATTCTACATGTTTTCTGCTTCCATCCCTGTGCCACTTTTGTTATAAACTTTTTGTTCAACGGGGATGTAGAACGCTGTTCCCACACAACCGCTTCTCTTCATGGTGATCCTCCCCCTGCCCCCCCGCCCATCCTGTCTTCCCTCCTTTCAGCTCATGTCGACGACCCTCCCGCCGCCCCCGAATACCGTGGAGTCCACGACGAATGCCATCTCCTCCTCGACCACGGCGCGGCTGCACACCTGCGGGAGCAAGGCACAGCGGAGAGCGCCGAAAGGGCCCAATCCGCGCACGCAGCTGTAAAAGAGGACGAGGAAGAGGAGGAGGAGGAGAAGGAGGAGGAGGACCAGCGAAAACCCAATAAGTATCAACAATGCGGTAACACACACTCACGTCTCAAGTCCCCCATCAATCCCTGCAAGCACTCTCTTTCGCGGCGCGAAACGCCCACTTTGAAAAACGAGAGCGCCCGATGGGCCATGAAGTTCAAGCGGGAGCTCCGTTTTGAAAAGGACCGCCACCCATCCTTCGAGCTAAAAGGAATGCGACGCGGCACTTCAAAAGTAGAAGCGAGCGTTACAACATCAAGGACTCGTTCGCTCATTAACTATCGCAATTGTTCGCCAACGCGGGCAGCTGACGATACGTTCTGAAACTCTGGCTGTGTTAGATACGCGATGCAAGCAGCGTGCTGCAATCCATGTGAACCAAGCTACGTGTATACTGAGCCCCGCGTTGCAAGGTATATGCTGCAGGCTGCGTGGTGAAGGCTATGTGTTGCCAGCTACGTGGCGCAATCCATGTGGTGTAAGTGACGTGCTGCGGCCCTGAGCACAGACCCCCCTCGTGCGAACACTGAGCGCACAAAGCGGCCGCGGAAGGAACACCCGGCACACCCAGTCATTCCACGGGGCGGCGACGCAGCGGCGACGGGCGGCCGCCGCGCGAACACCCGGCTCGCCCTTCCAAATTCCTCGGGGGACAGAAGAGATAATCCGTGCGCAAGGCCCAGCCATATGCAACTAAGCCTCCTCCTCCTCCTCTTCCTCCCCTCGTCCTCCTCCTCCCCCTCCTCCTCCTCCTCCTCCTCCTCCTCCATTTCCTCCTCCTCCTCCTCCTCCTCTTCTTCCTCCTCACCCTCATTCATGTATTGCGTAATACCGCGGTGTGCGTACCGCTTTCGGTGGAGCTCCCTCTGACAGATGCCACGAAGCGTGCGATGGGTGTGCCGAAATGGGCGCACTGGTGCGATGCGAGCGCAGCCACTGGTGGCCCTCGGTGGGGATCCCTATGTGGCCACCAGGCGTGTGAGGGGTGTGCCGATATGGGCGCGGTGGTGCCATGCGAGCGCAGCCACTGACTGGGGCTCTCGGTGGAGCTCCCTATGTGGCCACGAAGCGTGTGAGCGGTGTGCCAACATGGGCGTTGCGGTGCCATGTGAGCGCAGCCACTGGGGCCCTCAGCGGAGCTCCCCATGGGGACACGAAGCGTGAGGCTAGTATGCCGGAATGGGTGGGTGCGGTGGTGCCATGCGAGCGCAGCCACTGGGGGCCCTCGGTGAAACTCCCTATTGGGCCGCGAACCGTGCGAAGGGTGCGCCGACATGGGCGCGGTGGCGCCGTGCGATCGCAGCCACTGGGGTCTCGGCGGAGCTCTCCCCATGGGGACACGAAGCGTGTGAGGGGTTCGTCAAAATGGGCGCGCTGGCGCGACGCGAGCGCAGCCACTGGGGACCCTCGGCGGAGCACCCATTGGGCCCCGAAGCGTGTGACGGGTGCGCCGAAATGGGCGCGGTGGTGCCGTGCGATGGCAGCCACTGGGGCCTTGGGTGGAGCTCTCCCCATGGGGACACGAAACGTGTGAGGGGTTCGTCAAAATGGGCGCGGTGGTGACATTCGAGCGTAGCCACGGGGGGCCCTGGGTGGAGCAACCCATGGGGACACGAAGCGTGTGACGGGTGCGTCGGAATGGGCGCGGAAGCGCCATGCGAGCGCAGCCACCGCGGCCTCGGTGGAGTTCCTCATGGGGCCACGAAGCGTGTGATGGGTGTGCCAACATGGGCGCGGTGGTGCCATGCGAACGCAGCTACTGGGGCCCTCGGTGGAACTCTCCCCTGTGGGGACACGAAGCGTGTGAGGGGTGTGCCAGAATTTTGGGGCGCGGTGCCATGCGAGCGCATCCATTGGGGCCCTCGACGGAGCTCTATGGGGCCCCGAAGCGTGCGACGCGTTCGACGATATGGGCGCGGTGGTGCCATGCGAACGCAACCACAAGGGCCCTCGGTGGAGTCCCCCATGGGGCCGCGAAGCGTGTGAGGGTTGTGGCGAAATCGGTGCGGAAGCGCAATGCGAGGGCGCCCATGGGGGCCTCTGGTGGAGCTCCCCATGGGGCCACGAAACGTGTGACAGGTGTGCTGGTATGGGTGAGGTGGTCCCATGCGCGCGCAGCCACTGGGGGCCCTGGGTGGAGCAACCCATGGGTACACGAAGCGTGTGACGGGTGCGTCGGAATGGGCGCGGAAGCGACGGGTGCGTCGGAATGGGCGCGGAAGCGCCATGCGAGCGCAGCCACCGCGGCCTCGGTGGAGTTCCTCATGGGGCCACGAAGCGTGTGATGGGACCATGCTGCTTGGTCCCAACATCTCAAATCCAGAAGCCGACCGTGGAGGGAAGGGGGGAGAATACGAACATTACGCGTAAAGGAGAAAAGGAGGAGGGTCATGAGCTAAGCATGATCGACCCACGAACCTGGAAAAGGATGCATACATGTGAGGCATGGCAACAAGTTTAAGACACCGGATTGGGCGACGGGCAATTGCAATGCTGAGTGTATCGATCTTGGTGTACCGTGCCAAAGGCTGTGCTGTACTGTGCCGTGCTGAACTGCGATGTGCCATGCCCCGATTGTGCTCTATAGCGTGGTGGATCGAGTCCTCCTTAGCATTCGAGTCCTGGCCGAACTGACCTGGATCTTAAGCTCTAGCTGCCTGAGCACATAGTAGCCGCCCAGAGCTAGTTGAAGTAGAAACGTGCGGGACATTCAATCAGTTCGACCTCAAAATCCGACCCAGCACCGAAAAGGAACGACACGACACGGGGCACAGGCTCACGGACGCGCCACAGGATGTGCCAGGGGCGCAATAGGGGATGTGCCAGGGGACTTGTCAGGGGACGCATCCGGGGACGTGACCTGGACGTGTCATGGACCTGCCACGGGACGTGCCAAAGCGCGTGCCATGGGGCGGCCAGAAAACGTCATGCCAAGGGACGTTGCAAGGGGCCCGCGACGGAACGGGCAGGGGAAGCGCCTGGGAACGAGCAAGGAAATGCAACAGAGGACGAGCCAGGGAACGTGCCACGCCAAGTGGCGTGCTAGAGGACGTGCCAGTGCACGTCACGCCAGAACGTCGCAAGGGACGCGCCAGGGGCGCGCCAGGGCACCAGGGGACGCCCTACTGACGAGCGGGGTTGGACTGCGACGCACTCTACTGCGACAAGCGTTTCGCTCAGCACATCCTCAACAATTCCTTATGTTAGACATCCGCCTGGGCGGCCTGGACACGTGAAACCAAGCGTCTCGCTCGAGACACCTCTTCATGCTAGACACCTGCCTGAGCGACCTGAACACGTGAAACCAAGCGTTTCGCTCGAGGCATCCTGTCAGATTTCCTGATGTTGAACATCCGCCGGAGCGACCTGGACACGTGACAACAAGCGTTTCGCTCAACATATCCTCAACACATACTCAGGGCAGACACCCGCCTGGGCGACCTGGACACGTGAAAGCATGCGCCTCGCTGAAGACATCCTCAACACATCTTCATGTTAGACATCCGCCTGGGCGACCTTGGCACATGGAAACAAGCGTTTCGCTCAACACATCATCCACACATCCTCATGCCAGGCACCTGCCTGGGCGACCTGGACACGTGAAAGCAAGCGCCTCGCTGAAGACATCCTCAAAACATCTTCATGTTAGACATCCGCCTGGGACCTTGGCACGTGAAAACAAGCGTGTCGCTCAAGGCCTTCTCAGCACATCCTCATGCTAGACATCCGCCTGGGCTACCTGGACGCGCGAAAACAAACGTTTCGCTCAACACATCATCGACACATCCTCATGCTAGACATCTGCCTGTACGGCCTAAACGCGTGAAAGCACGCGTCTCGCTCAAGACATCCTCAACAAATCCTCATGCTAGACATCTGCCTGGGCAACCTGGAAGCGTGAAACCAAGCGTTTTGCTCGAGGCATCCTCAAGACCTGGGCACGTGAGGACAAGCATTTCACCTGAGACATCCTCTGAATTCTGGCCCCCAGGAGAGGAACAGCTTATGGCACAAAACAAGCGCTTCGATCGAGACATCCTCAACAAATCATGCAACACAAGCGTTTCGCTCGAGACATCCGCAACAAACGAACATGCTTACTTTACTTTTTGTTCTATCCAGCGGAACTTCAAAAACCAGCGTTTCGCTCGGGACGTCCTCAACTTTTCACTTCGCCGGCCCTGCGCGACCTCGCTCTTCTGTTTTGCATATCACATTCGCCGGCCCTGCGCAACTCGAGGCCAGGGGGGAAACCATCTAAAAAAGAACCCTGGGCCCCTGCCCCGTCCGGGAAGAACAGAACCCTGCGGAGGGCAGAGGCAAGGAGGGGGGAGGAGGAAGGAGGGGGAGGAGGAGGAGGAGAGGAAGGAACGCGGGGCGCTGTCTCTTCAGAACGAGGGCCCAGCACCGCAGGATGGCTGGGAACAAAAAGCCCTGGGCCCCTGCCCCCTTCCGGGAAGCACGGCGCGGCACCGCGTGCAGGTTCTGCTCCAGCGGCATCTCGCAGATGCAGAGCTTCTCGGAGAGGAGCCCGTTCCTGGGCTCCCCGGGCTGTCGGCGCGGGCCCAGACGAGCTATGACGGGGGAGCCGCGGCAGCGGCAGCATCATACAGCAGGGGAGGAGAGAGGGGAGAGCGGCGGCCGCACTGCAACAGGAGAGAGGAAGAGGAGGAGACGAGGAAACGCGGAAGGAGAGAAGGGCGGATGACCTCCTCCTCCCCTTCGTCTCTCCTTATCCCTCTTCCCATCTTTGGCAGGAGCAGGATGCGGAGTCTGAGAGCAGCGGCGACAGCCAAAGCCGGGGAGGGGCCGTGCAGCAGCTCTTGTCGGCAGCCCCCCCCGGGAAGCTCGGTCGCGATGCCTTCAACAGCGCGGTGGTCGTGGGGCTCTGGAGCCCCCTTGAGAGCCCTGGGATCAGGCATTCGACCTAAAAGGTTACTCCAGATTTCGTAATAAAGGGAGGTCTCATTTCGGGGGGGGGTCTCTTCCAGGCTATCTTGGAGGGCCTGGGGGGTCTGGGGACGATGTTTTGGAGGGTTCTCCCACGGGGGAGGTCTGAAATGGCTTGTCTTGGAGGGTCCAGACCCCCTCCCTTTTATTACGAAATCTGGAGTACATCAATGTGAGTTCGAACACGCCCGTGCAGTTGTTGGGCATGGAAAGTTTGAGAGGCTGTGTGTGAGAGTTCAATCAGGGTTCCTCGGGAATCCAAACTGGCATGCAAAGAGTAGGAAGGGAGGGGCTATGAGGCAGAGAAGCTGGGAAATGGGAAGAAGAGAAGGATGAGGAGGGCATCGAGGGGAGGAGGGCCAAGATGAGGTAAGCGGGCGCGGAGCTGGGGGAGGACGGGTGCTAGAGGAAAACGTCTTGAAACAACGGGGGAAGATGAGGATGGCGAGGAGAGACAGAGAGGGAGAGAGAGAGAGAGAACGAGAGAGAAATATTGAGAGAAAGAATGAGAGAGAGAGAGAGAGACGAGAGAGACAATGAGACACACCAAATGCGGACAGAGCCCATCCAGCCGACGGGTCTGCAAGCTCCCCGCTTGGCCGCCCCTTCATGGGCGGGGAGCGAAGCCAACGAAGCGGGAATCCGCTGCGCTCCTGGCGCGTGACCGGCGGGAGGACGCACGGGAGATAGCCGGGACGCGGCAGGCCGCCACTGCCCGGGGCCCGTGCAGCGAGCGCCCGCGTGGGGTGTGGACCGCGCCCATGCAGGGTGCAGCGGTGAGGGGCCCCAAGAGGCCCCTCAGAGGACTCCGAGTTTCTCCTCCTCCTCCTCCTCCTCCTCCTCCTCCTCCTCCTCATCGTCCCCCTCCTCCTCCTCGTCCCCCTCCTCCTCCTCCTCCTCCTCCTCCTCCTCCTCCTCCTCCTCCTCCTCGCTCCTCCTCCTCCTCCTCCTCCTCGCTCCTCGCTCCTCCTCCTCCTCCTCCTCCTCCTCCTCCTTTCCTGGGGCGGGCAACCCCACCCAGGAGGGAAACTGGACAATACATGTCGGGGTGAAGCGGGCGGCTTTACGAGATAGCCGTGGCACGGGCAGCCGTGGCAGCAGCCTACGCGTGGGCACGCGTGCTGGGCGTGTGAGGGGAGGCCAGCGAGGGATTGGCGCAATCCGACCTCGTCGCCGTCCGACTCGTCTGCGCGGGGGCTACTCCGCCACAACCTGGGCTACCTGTCACAACCGCGCGGGCGTTCTGAGTAGCCGTACGATTGATCTCGAGTCCTCGCCCTCGATCTCATCGTCAGCGGCTCCTCATCCTCCATTCAGCCTGGGGCTGGCATCCCAGCCAGCGGCTATGACCTGGGCGAAAGCCGTGGCGCTAGGCGTGCGAAGGGGGCAAGCGAGGACAATGTGTAATCCGACCTCGTCGCCGTCCGTCTCATCTGACAACTCCGCCGCGGCCTGGGTTACCAAGCCTATCCGCGCGGGCATCCTGAGCAGCCGTGAGTGGCAGGTTGGAGTGAGGAGGGACGCAGGATCTTGAATCCTCGCCCTGCTCCCCTCCGTCGGCGGCTCCTCGGCCTCCGTCCGGCATGGGGCTGGCATCCCAGCTGCTGGCCATGACCTGGTCGACAGCCGCGGCAGCAGCGCACGCGTGAACACGCGTGATCGGCGCGCGAGGGGGCGCAACTTCGGCGGTAGACAAACCTCCCTTAGCAAACCTCCCCCTAGTGAAAGCGGCCTGGGACCGAAACCGACGGACCCGAATCCGCCAGAAATGACGGCCGCGACGCCCTCTCGCGAACCGAAAACGACCAATTCCTTAATCGACGCGTCAGGGTAGGAGGTCTGTCCACCTGCGACAACCGAGGGATTGGTGAAGTCCGACCTCGTCGCCGCCCGTGTCCTCTGCAGCTGGCCGGGGGGCGGCCCCGCCGCGGCCCGGGCGATACCCGGCCTGGCCGCGCGGGCGCCCCGCGCCGCCGCGGCAGACGCTCCGGGAGCGGGGCGGGGCGCGGGATCTGAGACTCTCGCCCTCGGCCTCATTCACGGCGGGGTTTCTCGTGCGCCCGAGGGCGGAAGTGGCGAGAGCAGGGACGGTGGGCGAGAGCGACGCCCTCGTCGTCGTCCCCCCTCTCGCGGCGGCAGAGTCCAATGGGGCTCGGCCCGACGGCTTTTAAAGCCCCAGGCAGGCACGCTGCCGCCCGAGGCCAGCAGCACACAACGCAACGGTACAATCGGCCGTGGACAAACCTCCCTTAGTAAACCTCCCTTTAGTGAAAGCGGCCTGGGACCGCAACCGACGGACCTGAATCCGCCAGAAATGACGGCCGCGACGCCCTCTCGCGAACCGAAAAAACGGCCAATTCCTCAATCGACGCGTCAGGGTAGGAGGTCTATGCGCCCAGGGGCGGGGGTGGCGAGAGCAGGGACGGCGGGCGAGCGGCGCCCTCCTCGTCGTCCCCCCCTCTCGCGGTGGCAGAGTCCAATGGGGCTCGGCCCGACGGTTTTTTGTGCCCCAGGCAGGCACGCTGCCGCCCGAGGCCAGCAGCACTTAGATCGGGTGAATGGAAGACCTCTCGCTCCCCCAGGAACCTCCAAAAAACTCAAACCGAATCTCGCCGAGAGAGAAAATCTCGAACCAGATCTCAAACCAGATCTTCCCGCGAGAGAATCCGGGATTCTCTCGCGGCCCTCGCGAGGAGACTATGAGAAGGCTCTCGGATGAAACACTTAAATCCCCTTGCTGCGTGTGTTGCTGCAGCGCACAGCGCAGCGGCACAGAGCGCAGGCCGCGACTCCCGCGGGCTGGGGCAGCGGTGGCCGACGGGCACGGCGGCAGGCGGGCGCGGGGACGCACGGGTGCACGGAAGGTGGCGGATCTCTCGGCGCCCGCTCCCGAAAGGGCTGAGTCGGGCCTGCCCCCCTCACAGGAGGATTTTCGACGAAACAAAACAAATACCCCCAACATACGCCAAAAAGGTCAAACAATAATACAAAAATAGTCCCCCATACAGGGGGATTTTCGACGAAAACCAAAAATACCCCAAAAATACGCCCAAAAGGTCAAACAATACTCGAAAAATAGTCCCCAGACTATGTTTGGACTATGTTTGAAGTGTTTCTTATTTTCCGTCGACAATCCCCCTGTAGGGGGACAGGCCCGACCTAACGAAAGGGCCTCCTCGCGATCATCTTCGTCGTCGTCCATCCCTGGCGCGCCGAGAGCGGCTCCATGGCAGCTGAGTGTCAGCCGCTTCGGGGGGCTGCGGCGCGGGTGGCTCAGAAGCTGGGCGAGGGCTTGCAGATCCGTGGCTGCTAAAACAGTCTCCCTGGAAGAAAAAATCCCGGAATTACACTCAGCGTGCTAGATATGAATAACAAACGGGCTGCTTCCCGGAAGAAACAATAATTTCCCGGAGCTCCGCTTTAGCAGCCACGGGTTTGCCAGCCTTCGCCTGTCTTCTGAGTAGCGACGGTGACGGCGCTGAATGTTTGCAGATCCGCGCGGGGCTCCTGCAGGAGCTCGTGGGTACGCGAACGGAGAGCTTGAAGGTCCGCTCGAAGCTCGTGCAACAGAGCGTGGTGGTGGACGCTTTCGCGTGATCCTCCTGGGTACGGGGCCGCCAGGGGTAGGTCCACGCCGACGTCTCCCCGGGCGTCGCATAGGACCCTGCAGGGCTCGTGGCGTAGAACAGCAGGAAGAGTCGAGGAGCGGCATGCCCAATGTCAGGTTTGTGCCGGCATTGAAGAACACGTCGTCCCCGATATAAGCGTGGGCGGACTGCGCATAATCGATTTCTTTTGGCAGGTTTCGGCATGCGCTCGCGACGACGCGCGCGCGTGTGCACTTCGTCCAACGTGTTGCAAACGGGCGATTGAAAACTCATTGTTCTTGATAAACGAATGTGCGCGCATAATTGTAGTTGGTCAGGATGATGAGGAGAAGGTCGAGCCCGGCCTGGCTCGGATGGTCTGAGTTGTATTTAGAATGAGCGATGGGGCATACACACATGTAAACTGCACATTCTCAGGGGGTATGGATAACCCAGGGTGGCGGTAGATCCGAATTCTTTTATGAGAACGGATGACCTGTGTTGTGCAAGCTATGTGATGCAAGCTATGTGATGCAATCTGCGTGGTGCAATCTATGCGGTGTAGCCTTTTGTGGTGCATTTTACGCGGTGCAGTCTAACGTTGGGCAATTGATTTTAACAAACGAGTTGACACATCCCACGCCCTTGCAAACATCCCACCCACCCACCCGCAACTTGGCTTGCAAAACCCATGTGGTGACGATTGCAATGAGTGTTTGGAGTTAGCTGGCCCATCTCTGCGGCCGCGCCAACCCAAGCGCGCACGCGCAGCGGCCAGCTAGTTTGGCGCGACCGACGCGGCCGCGGTGGTGCTGACTGCTGGGCACATCCCAGCTGGGCGACGACACCGACGACGTCTCCAACGACTTCGACGCCGACAACGACGACGACGACGACGACGACGACGACGACGACGACGACGACGACGACGACGCCGACGCCGACGACGACGACACGACACGACGACGACGATGACGACGCCGACGACGACGACAACGAC